GGCAGGGCGCCCTGGCCAGGGGCACAGCTCGGCAGCGCGTGCCCGCGGGCGCCCTCTCCTCCAGGGAAAGCTGCAGTTGCCTTCTCCCGTTCTCAGCCTGCCTGGGGTATCGCGTGTGGGTTCCGGTTCTTGCTCTTCGCCCCGGGCTACGGCCACAGTATGGGATTGGGACGTGGCCACTTTGCTGCTTGAAATTGGGGGAGAGACCGAAGCGCGCTGGCCCTGCAGCTCCCTAAGCAGGAGCAGGATTCGAAGCCAGGTCCTCTCAGGTGCGAATGCTCAGACACCACGCTCAGAGGCAGGCTTACGTTTCAGAACGTGAGAACCACCGCGATGGCCCCCACTCCTAGTGGCCAGGGCATCCTTTCCAAATCGTGGCTTGACCTACCCTTCCTTACTTGCATTTGCACCTCAAGGTTTAAGACTGGGGGGAGAGGAAACCCAGGCGCTTCCTGCTACCCCGTGTCCACTCAGTGGCCTGACCCTCTGTTCTCTGGGACCCTTCCCGCTCCAGGCCCGGACTAGCAAGTGAGGCAGCCACTGCACTCACTCCTCTCACTGCGAAGAGGGAAGTGAAGGCCTAGAAGTTCTGCCTGGGCTGGGGCTGGGGCTGGGCCTGGGGGGCAGGTTCCAGCTATAGCCTTTGTCAACCAGGGTTGTAGAAGGAAGGAGGGTCAATGAGGAGAGAGGAGGGGTTCTGACCTGGTTCTCCGCAGTCTGCAGTCTGTTCCAGGTCTGAGGGTTTTAGTGAATCTGAGCAGCGTGCCCATAGGCAGAGTACCCTGTGGTTCTAGGGTTTCCCCAAGGCAGCCCCTCACTGGGGTGGACTAATGGGCCGCCAAGCACCAGAATTTGAGAGTGTGTGAGTGTGTGTGTGTGTGTGGGGGGGGATGTGTCCAGGGAACCCTGCACCAAAGCATAGGGGCCCCAATGGTCCATGGAGTACAGCCCACCAGATAGAAAGCCTGAGCCGGGCCCCAAGCGGGGAGGTCTAGATTCCGGTGCCACTGGGTGGGAGAGGTCTCCCTCACTGCCTACACCGCTGCACTCCTTGGGCACAGGGGACAGGGCAAGCTTGGCAGACCCAGCCCTCCAGGACGAGAAGACCAGCCAGGCACCGGCTGGTCCAGACAGCTGGGGCTTCCTTGCTGGCGACGCCAGGAGGCCGATGACCTGCTCCTGGAGAGTGAAGACCTGGAGGTCAGCGATGTAGCTGTGGGCCGCAGCCTGCACAACCCCAGTTCCAGGTACAGGGCCGCCTCCCATCCACCAGGGGACACTGCACCCACCCTGAGTGCCACTCGCCCCTGGCCAGCTGGGCCACCAGGGCAGAAGCCTACTCCCAGATGGCCAGCAACCATGCCCCTCAACCTAGGCCCGGACTTCAGGGAGAGAAGGTCCTCTGCCCTCTCCCCTCCACCCACAGCACATAGCTCTTCTACCCAGGGTCCTCGGGAATGAAACCCAGAGATGGCACAAGCTGGCCATCACCGAGGAGGTCACTGCTGCGCCTCGTTTCCCCAGCCCAGGGTGGTAGGGCGTAGGGGGGCTGGAGGGTGGGGAGGAAGCTGGCTTGGGCGTCTTGAGTAAGCCTTGGCCTGGAGTGGGTGGGGTGGATCGTGGGGGGAGCACTGGCGGGGCTGGGGGGGGGTAGGGGGGGGTGGGGGGAGGGTGCCAGGACTTCCCAGCTGCGTGATGGCTGAGCACCCGGATTAGCTTGACGGCAGTGCCCCAAACTCACTCGAAGTTTACACTTCTGTGCTTGGCGGGGTTGGGGGTGGAGTGTGTGTGTGTGTGGGGGGGTGAGCCTTAGGGCAAATTTTGGGAGAGGGTTGACTGAAGGGTCTGGGAGGGGGATTTCATCCCCAGCCTATACCTCGGAACCTGACCAAGTCGAGGGGAGTGGGATCCTAGCTCAAGCACTTTCAGCTCGAGCCGAGCCCGTGCTCGGGGAAGGTTTGGGGAGAGGCGAGCCTGACATGAGGGGAGGGCTGGGGGGGGGTGTGTTGGGGTCCCAAGTCCACTTCAAAGTCTCTGACTTGCAGCTGGGTCTGCACAGAGCAGGCACCGCCAGGTGGTGACAGGCACAGCGGAGCGCGCTCCCATCCTCCGCAGCCAGCCGCCCTATTTTGTAAAAAATAAAGGTTTCTCTGGCTTACTCCTCCCTTGCGGTGGATGCGGTGGAGTCGCCTGGAGGATCACTGCTGGGAGCCCATAAGGGGGAAGGAAAGAAGCGTGGCCCAGGCTAGTTACCGCACCTCCTGGGCCTCCTGGCTCCGAGGGAAAGCTGGCCCGCCTTCCACTTTCAGCTGCCCTGCTGCCTGATTCTGGTTCTTCACTCCAGGGGAGCCCCTGACCCAAAGTGACATCGCTGATTCCACCCGGAGTTCCCTTGTCCAGAGGGGACCTGTTGATACCCAGAGCCTCTTCCCTGAAGGCCTCTTCAGGCCCAGGTTTCCAGGGGCCAAAACTCGGCCATGGAGGACCACAGACACCCACCGGCCCTCCAGCTCAGCCTGGCCCAGACCCTAGGAGCTGAAGGACACTTCGCACACCATCCCCTCAGCCCCACTTGAAGGAAATAGGGAGCTGCCGATCCTCACTCCCAGATGGTGGGCGGGCAGCAAGGTGACTGCAGCCTCCCGGCTGTGAGGGCTGGGTCAGCTGGGCTCCCACCAAGCGCTCCATGGCCCTGTCCCTGGGCCACTCCACACTCAGTGCAGGTGAAGGCGGGTCCACTTTCTGTTCGAAGTAAGGCCTGGTGGAGGCCCCTGACCTGGCAGGACCTTCCCTGCTGACCCCTCTCTCACTTTGCAACAGGCTTCTCACTTGTGTGACCAGAAATTCCTTTTGTCCTAGTTCTCACACTATATTACTGAATATCATCGGCTCTAAGGCAACATTTTCCCACTTCTCAAATCTGGGTTCATATGCCACCTGTGAGGCTGTGGCCAAGGGGGTGGGACTGTTAGATGCCGAAGGGGATCCATTCAGAGGCGACTCTGACCTCAAAGAAGTTTTAGGGACACCTTCACCCACTGATTTCTCTGATAGTCTGTCTCCCTTTATGTAAACTCAACAGTGATCTGTGATAAAAATCTATGTCTTTTCAAAAAATACGTTTTTATTGATTTCAAAGAGAGGAAAGGAGAGGGCGAGAGAGATAGAAACATTGATGAAAAGAGAAACATCTACCAGCTGCCTCCTGCATGCCCCCTACTGGGGATCGAGCCCACAACCTGGGCATGTACCCTGACTGGAGCGGAACCAGTGACCTCCTGGTGCATGGGAGGACACTTAACCAATTGAGCCACACAACCAGGCAAAAATCTATGTCTTTGTAGGCCAAAATGGGATATTCTGGGCAATATATAAGCAATGGGTTAGCGCTTCATTGGCAATATTTTAAAAATGTTTCTTTGTGCTTCAGGAAATAATGGTCTCTGACATCAGTGACATCACAGACACTTTCATATCAATCTCACACTTCCGGGGCCATTCATTCATTTAACAAACAGGTACTGAGTGTGAGTTCACAGTGCTGAAACGCAGGCCCTCTGTCCCTCTCCCCTGATTCCTTGATCCAGTAATAGTAAAGTAGGTGCCTTACTTCCACTTCCCAGGTGAAAAGAAAACTCAGAAATGTTAGGCAACTTGCCTAGGAACACACAGCTATTAACAGCAGGATTTGGGTCAGACTTCAGCGCTGTTGGTCTCCGCTGTCTCTAACCCAGCAGCCTTGAGGCTCAGTTTGGGGTGTCCCAGCTGCCTTAGAGCCCCTAATGGCCTCTGCCTGCCTGGAATCCATTTGCTCACCAAGTATTTGTTAAACACCTGCTGTGTGCCAGGCACTGTGCTAGGCATGGGAGATACAGCTTCTGACCTAAGGACCTCACACTGGAGGTGAGGAGGCTTGGACAGAAGGCAAAGAAGCTACAATTAAATTCAAAAGAAGATTTTAGGAAGTGACACATGCCATGTAGAAAACACAGCGGGTGGTAGTGGGTGAAGAGGTGAGGAGGGGACCTAGGCTCTGCCCAGAAGGCAGTGGGGAGGCGGCTGCCTCCTGGGTCTAGCCCCAGGCAGACACCTCCATCAGCCCAGCCCCTCTGAACTTGGTGTGCACACAGCCAGAGCCCTGGCAGCTCCGCCTCCAGCCTCCAGCAGGCAATTTGCCTCCCCCTCCCCCTTTTCATAAGGATGCAATTTTCTGCGTGCTTTAAGGACATTAGAAGGGCATTTGACTGACGGGCCATGCGAAACACATTAGCAGCGAGGCCCAAGACACTGGAGGTGGTGCCTGCTAGGGAAGGGGCAGGTGGAGGTGGAACAGACCCTGGGGATAGTGGGGCTGGGGTTGTTCCTAGGTTGAGGGAGACAGAGATGCAGAAAGAGGAGAGGGAGGGAGGAAGGAAGGGAGGGAGGGAGAGAGAGAGAGAGAGAGAGAGGGGAGAGAGAAAGGCATGGTGGGTGGGGTGGGTGAAGGTAAAGAAACAGTGGAGAGGAAGGAGAGATAATAGATGCAGAAGAGAAAGAGAAAGGGGCTGGAAGGAGAGGAAGGTGGAGACAGGCAGGGCTGGAGGGAAGTGATCACAGGAATGGGGTCGTGTCTGAGGTGCACTCTCTCCTAGACGGCCATGTGACCCTGGCCAGGAGTGAGTGTTGCCTTCACCAAGGCCGTGGCTCACTCAGTGTTTCAGCCTCTCAAGCACCAAGCTCCCTTTTCCCCCAAGACCCTTGCGCATTCTGTGTCCAGGCCTGTGGTGTTCCCTGCACTCCCCTACTGCCCCGTCCCTCCTCCTCCTTCCTGGGCTACCCATCATTCCCAGGGCTGCCTGCTCTGACTGCCCTTGCCTTGCTGGCTGGTACTCATCTCTGCTCTGATGCCTCTGTATTCACCTGGAGGCTGTTCTGAGGCGCGGCTGTCTTGGTCCTGGTACAGCTTGAGTTCAACAGCAGCAGCTCCTCTCCAGCTGGCATTCTCCTTCGCAACAAGGAACATCCCATTTGCAGAATCCTTCCTGGCTTTTGCTGGGTCCAATGCCTATCATGGATGCTCAGAAAATTCCCAGAGCTGGGAAGGTACCTGGCCGGGCTCCTTCCCTTCCATGGTCTCTACAGGATTCTTCCTTCCTGTCTTATCAGGGGCTGGATGTGGGCACAGAGGGGGTCTGGAGAGCTTTGGACTGGTCCTGGAGCCAGGCACCGTCCAGGGTGCTCCTGGGGATGGAGCCCAGCTGGAACCCAGGGCCTTCCCTGAGCATGCAAGTGTGCCCACACCAGCTTCACCATTTATGGAGCATGAGCACCAGGCACTGACCATGTTGGTTAACCCTCATCAGCTGGCTGCCATGTCCATTTCTCAGATGAGGGAACAAGCACAGACAATGGGTGACTGGCCCGTGTTCACACAGGCAGAGCTGAGGTATAAATTCAGGCAGAGCTACTTCCTGTGCCATCTCTATATCCTCAACCCTGAGGGGATCCCCACAAAGGGGGTGGAAATAGCAGGGGTAGCTTGGCTCCGTGGTGAAGAACCTGGGTTCTAAGCCAGGCTGCCTGAGGTCAAATCCTAACTTCATCACTCATTGGCTGTATGACCTAGGACAGGTTACCTGCCATCTCTGTGCCTCAGTTTCCCTCTCTTTAAATTAGGGGCCAATAGCTCTAACTGGTTTGTCTCAGTGGATAGAGCGTCGGCCTGCGGACTGAGGGGTCCCAGGTTCGATTCCGGTCAAGGGCATGTACCTTGGTTGCGGGCACATCCCCAGTAGAGGGTGTGCAGGAAGCAGTTGATCGATGTTTCTCTCTCATTGATGTTTCTAATGCTCTATCCCTCTCCCTTCCTCTCTGTAAAAAAAAAAAAAAGAATAAAATATATTTTAAAAAATAAATAAATTAGGGGCCAATAACAAAATTCTCCCATCCTCTTTGAGATGCCTGACTATTTAGCCAGAGGATTTCCTACAAGGGTTTGGAGATAGTGTAATTTACCATCATGAGCCATTTTTTGAGAGGTCACCAGTTCATGGATTTCTGGCCCTGGGAGGGCAAAGACCCTGCCTATCCTGCCCACCCCTGGCCCCTCATTCCTGGGGCGGTGCCTGGGACACATGGTGAGTGCACCAGGAACATCTGTGGGCCTCAAGAGTGAAAGCCATTACAGGCAGGGAGGTCTGGGGCCACTCCCCCACCTTTGTGCTGAAGATGTGACAATATGACAATAGCCTGGCCTTCCCTCCATGAGGCTCTAGAATGCAGTTCCCCCTTCTCCTAGGGCCATGTGGCGATAAACGAGGCAGGGGCAGGGCGATGGGTGGGTCTTTGTTAGCCTGAGTGTGGGCCTGGGATGGGCTCCACTTGTTGAGGTTTGGGGCTCAGGGCTATGTCATTTCTAACTTATTCTTCAACAGCTCCCATCCCCCTGGCCAGGCCAGCCCACCATTCACCCTCTCCTGTCACCACTCTCTGCCTGGCCATATCCTGCCCCACCCTGTGGGTTGCCCCATGACCAGGCCCTCTCACCATCCCAAACTC